ATTAAAATACTACTTTTGTAAGTATTTTTATTTTGTATGCTCTTTGGTTTTATAAAACATAAGAAAACTTATTATATTTAACTTTTTGAATTAATAAGTTAAAATAATTTTAAACTAAATTTAATATTTGATTAAGACTTCATAGAAATACTAAGTATGTATGTATGCATGTATCAGGCTTTGTTATTTTGTTATGAATAAAAAAAAAATTTTAACACATTTGCATAACATCATAGAGTTCTTTTTATTTGCTTTTCATATTTATCCTCATTAAATTTTTTGAACTACGGAAATTACTAAATTGCCGCAAGACTTCTTTAATTGAATAACTAACTCAAAAAAAATGCAAAAATATTTTTATGTAATAATTTTATTGAATGTTAACTTATATGCTGGTTTTTAAAAATACTTGTTTATTTTCTCGAGATTTGACCCAAATATGTAGTGATTAAATATTATAGCGCTGTTTTTTGTTTTTAAAAAGTCAGCAAGTAATAAACTAAAACTTTAAATAATGAAGGGAAAAAAAGCAAACAATAGTTAATTTTTAAATCAGAAATTTTAAATAAAATTAAATTCTTTATTTATTTACAAAGTTATTGAAAAAAGCTTGTGTTATTAAAATGTGTTAATACTTGTGTTACTTAATTAACTTTAATGTACGCTTTATAAATATTTTTTACAAAGAATTTTATTTCTAGCAAAATAAAATTAAAAGGTGGAGTAAAACCTTTATAGTTTTAAATGATAGATAATTCTGGTGATAAAGAAAAACTTGCTTATTGAAATATATTTAATAACATTTACACTAAAATTTTAATCAAAACTAAACATTACATGGTTAAATATGAGAAATATATTTTGTATAGGCTAGTTTACTTCAAGTGTACATGCTTTTAATGAAATTGTCTGTCAAGTGATAAAATCAAACATTATGTAGAAACTACAGAACTAAATTTTTACATTACATCAGGCTTTCACAGGAAGACATGCGATTTCATGTCTTTATATGATCACGCAAAAAAAAAATGTTTCAACGATTTGACCACGGCATATTTTTAAAATTTAAAAACGCACTACAAAAACTTACCTAAATTTATCTGAAAAAAAATTTAAAAAAATAATAAATATTAACGAAAGAGAAAATAAAAAAAAAATACTTAGTTAAAGCAAAAACATAAAAAAATAAATATATAAATATAACGCAACTAAAACAAAACTCATCAAACTAAAATGTTTAGTCTATTTAATTTACACATTAAAAAACCTTTACAATCTTTGTTTCAACATTTTTATATATTTTTTATTTGTTTAATATGTTCAAAAGTTAAATACTTCTCATAAAAAATACATAGTTATATAAATAAAATAAAAAAACATTTTATAAACATTATAAAACTTTTTTTTAAATTAATTAGTGTTTTTTTTTTACTTCAGTAAAAGCGTTTCGATAATATTTATTTTTAACATTTAAGATCAAACTTACTAAATTGTAACGGTTTTCTAAAACTTTTTTTTATAACGAAGTTTTGTTTATCTTTTTAAATGCATTAACTTTAATCATTCTTATATTTAAATTCGTTAAAGAGACTTTTGTAGTCGTAGAATGTCATCGTTTATAAAAACAAAAAATTTTTTATTTTTTAATAAGATTTATTTTAGAAATGTACACTTAAACAATTTATATGTTTTAAATTAAAGATATATATACAACTGTCAATTATATTTAAAAAACAAAACTTTTTTTCAGTAAACTGTTACTTTATTTAAAATCATTTCGCTAATATAAAAGCATTTGTTAAGAAATTTTGATGTAATTAATTTCACTTTTTTAGAATATTTTTTATTTAGCGCGTTTCTAAAATGTTTTTTGAATTAGCCGTGGTCAAATCGTCATAGCAAAATGTAACTTGCGTGGTCATATAAAGATGTGAAATCGCACGTCTTCCTGTGAAAGCCTGTTACATGGTTGAGTTAGTTAAAAGTAAAGTTTTTTAAAGTAATATTTTATTGCTGGTTGTTGTTGTATTTCTAATACCTGAATATTTTGATTATTTCAATATTTCAATAAAAAAACGAGTCACTTAAAATACTGATTTAAATTATCGGTATAGTTATTTTGATATTATCAAACAAAAAAGTTTTTAGCGTAAAGTAAAATTACTCTTTGCGTTTGTAAATTGCTCTACGCCGACACTTAAAAACAAGATCATGTATGTATGTATGTATGTATGTATGTATGTATGTATGTATGTATGTATGCATGTATGTATGTATGTATGTATGTATGCATGCATGCATGTATGTAGGTCCCCCCTACATACATAAATACCCCTTTTCCTTCCTAAAGCGTGATAAACTTATAGACGAACCTCTATGTAAAAAATTCAGATAAAAAAAGATGAAAAATAAAAACAATAAAAAAATACCTGATAACTTTGCTTGCTTATACAACTTTAGCAAAATATACAATACAACAACAAAGCAGGTCATATAACATAACACCTTGTGTAGACGAAATGGATAGTGCACCATAAATATTCCAAGAACATCGTAAAAAATACTATTTCCATGCTTATAACCAGCTGGGTCCTTTAAATAGTCTGAATTTGCCATTGATTTTATTAATTCTAGAATATTGTCACCAGATCTTTGAATGGACCCAATAGGGATAGCATCAGCATTGTCATAACGAGTATGGTAAATATAACCATTACTAACATAAGCCAGATCGATACCTACAATAAACATAAGAAAACCAAAACTTTATTTAAAGAAAACAGCATAAAAATTGAAATAAAAATTTTTATTTTTTATTGGTTTAATTTTAAAATTTGTTAGCACATTAATATTGCAGAAAAAAAAAAATTATTAATATGAAAACTATTAGTTTTTTATTTAATAACTTCAGGGGAAAAAAAGAAGGAAAAATTGCTATTGGTTACAAATACTTTTAAATTTAATTAAAAAGTAAAAGCTTTTTAAACAAATCAACCAATTTTTTAGTTTAGAAAATTTAATTTAAACCAACTTTTTTGTTTTCGTTTGTTTGATTATCTTACTAACAATTTATATTTAATAAATAAAATAGATTATTTCCACAAACGCACGCACATAGATTTTTAACAAAAAATATTTGCACGCAAGAATTTTTATACATGTATTTTTGAAAAACAAACAAGAGCAACAGCTTAAGTTTTACTTTTAACTCTTATAGCTTCTTATTATCAGGGTTTTATTTCAAAGACCATAAATAAATCAAAACCAAAATCAAAACCACCATCTTATTATTTTGGCAAAGAGTGAAATTGGAATAATAAGTAAAAGACTTTAAGACACCACAAACATTAACTTAAGAAATAGCCAAAACCAACATTATCAAACGGTTCAGCATTCTAGACAAAAAAAATTGTATATATAAACAAATTGTACCCAACTATAAATATCAAATTAATAAATTTATTTTTATTGCAAACAACACATTTCAATAACTAACGAGAAACTTAAAATTATAAAAACAACTGAAAAAAAGGCATTTTATTATTTTGAAAATCTCTTCTTTTACAAGAAATAATAAACAATAGCATGTGGATAAAAAAATTTAATCATGAAAGTTTTGACATAATATTCTCTAATCCATATATATAATGCACCATCAAAGATAATTACAAAACTAACATAGGATTAAAAACTAACAAGGATTATACTGTGGTGACAACTTAATAGTAATACAAAACTCTAATAACCAAGAAACAAATTCAAAAAAAAAAAATCTCAATATTTAAATTTTGGATTTTAAATAGATATAAAATCTTAAAGACGCAAATATGCTTGTTGTCACTTTCAATCAAATTGAAAACATCTGTGAACCTTTTAAAAAACCTGACAATTAACATAACATTTATCTTCAAGTTATCCATTGCAAACTCTTAAACATTTACCTACTTTAATATGCAATAGACTTTCACACATCTTGAAAGAAGTAATATTTAATCAATTCAAAAACAAACACAAGCAGCCAATAAAAAACAGCTAATACAAAAACAGCCTCCTTAAATATAACATTAAACAAGATCCAACAAAAAAAAATCATAGACTAAACATCATTTGATTCAACTTAACAATTAACAAAAATATCTTGCAAAATGTAATTAAAAAATTTTCAAAAGTACTAGACATAAACTTTCCTTACTAAATTTAAATTTTTACTAATTGCTAACTTAATTATTATAATATGAATATTTTTTTTTAAACGTCTTCGCTTCCAACAAGGCTGCAAGCAACCAATAACTAGTGTTGGAAGTTACTGGAAGAGAAAAGATGAAGATTGTAGAGCAAGATAACAATTAGCAGACAACTTAAAAGATTGCAAATTATATGAATCAGGAAGGCATGATGAAGGAAGCGAATTCCAAAGAACTAATGTTTGACGAAAAAAAACTAGATGAATAAGAGTTTTTGGAACACTTAGGAACTTGAATGCCGAGTAACACGAGAGTGAATTTTAGCACATGGCACAAGAGACGCTAGCTCTTTAGAGCAGTGCCCATTATATTATTTTTAAAAAAGAGAAAGAGAAGCAACATTACGGCAATGTGATAATGGTTGAAGGTTGGCTGCAAGAGCAGGTCCAACTATGTTTACAATGCGTTTTTGCACCTTGTCTAAAAGAGAAAGAACATCATTAGAAGGTCCGCCCCAGATATGGCAATAGTATTCCATACAACGCCAGAATTGAGATTTATAGAGATAAAGAATAGAATCAGGAGTAAGAAAGTGCCAAGCTTGATAAAGAGATGCAACTTTTACCATATGCTAACTTTGCAAGGGATTTGATATACGGTTTCCGAGAAAGATTAGAAGTAAGAGGTAATCCTAGAAGATGAAGGGTAAATGACTCATGGAGTACATTACTGCTCATAAATATAGGAAGATCTAAGTTAATGCGATAACAATTGGTTGAAAAAAATTGAGTTTTATCTGAATTAAAATTCACCAGCCACTGAAAGGCCCATGCTTTAGCAGAAGTGAGATCCTTTTCAAGCTCAAATGCCATCTCCAAGCAATCAGAGAGAGTTGGCTTCTTACCATGACAAGAATAAATGGTAGTATCATTTATTATTATCATGACAAGAATAAATGGTAATATTATTTATTATTATCATGACAAGAATAAATGGTAGTATCAGTATCAATTATTTATAAATGTTACAACTTCTCAGCCAGCAATGCCACACTAGATGTGAGAATATCTGGAAGATTGTTAATGTAAATTAAAAAGATATAGGGCCAAGGATTGAACCTTGAGGAACCCCTGAGGTTACAGAATAAAAAGAAGAGTGCTGTCCATCAAGGACAACTTTTATACTATGATTGGAAAGGAAGAATTCAATAATCTTAAAGATGTTTCCAGATACACCGTAAGAAGAAAACTTATGGAGAAGACCAGCATTCAAACTTTATCAAACGCTTTAGAATTTAAAATGTTAAGAGTGATGGCCTTAACCTCTCCACCTTTATCTAATGCGCTATAAAACCTATCGGTTATTACTGTTAGCAAATTAGCCGTAGAACAAGAAGATTGAAATCCATATTGATGATCAGAAAGTAAGTTATTAGATTCAAGATGAGAGATTAAGTGTTTGTTAATTAAAGATTCAAAAACCTTACTTATGATAGGAAGAAGACTAATGGGATGGTAGTAAGACAAATCAGATCGCTCTCCAGAATTTTTAAAAATAGGGATAACAGATGCTACTTTCCAGCAGGCTGGAAAACAAGACTCTTATAAGTACTTGTTGAATAGTTTTAAAAAGAATAAAATTTCAATATTAAAAAAATTGGGCGTTCAAATTAAATACTCATTTAAACTGTTGTTCTCCATTGTAGATGTTTTTTTTATAACTTTATGTTATATTGGCGAAATACATTATAACAAATTAGGAAATAGTCCTCAAACTCTTAGCAAAATAAGTTTCTTTTGGAAAAGATATTTAGTCAAAGCTTCTTAAGATTTTGAGAAGAAACTTAAAAGTTTCTTAAGATTTTAAGAAATGTTTTTTAAGATTTTAAGAAAAAAATCAAACATGAAACTTGTAATAACATCTATTGTGCATAAAAACATAAAAAAAAAAATTATTATATTTAAATTTTTTTTTTTGTTTTTAATTTAAAAATATAAAATTTACTAGATATTGAATTTTGCTGTTTAAATTTGCTTGCCGCACTTGTGTAGTAAAAATATTGTTGCTGCACATATAAAATAATTTTGAAATAGCACATTACAACAAAAGCTCTTTAACTAACATTTGTTCTTATGCCGCAAAAGCAGGAATATATTGGTTCACTTGGTGCAGTTGACAGAAATTAGTAGAGAACAACAATAACTAAATTAAAAAATGTAAGAGAAACAACATGCAGCATCAGCCGCTTCAACAACTGAAGCAAGTGTTGAATTGCTATCACATAGTTCTGCATTTGTAAATGAAAAATCAGAATATGATTCAGACATCAATGTGCCAACAACTGTGCCAATAAATGCAAGCAGCAGAAAACAATAGTCTCTGCAAAGGTATTATTAACACTGGATTGTACAAACACAAGTGTTTTTAAATCAGTTATGGCAAATACACTGAATTAGTCTAGAACTGAACTAGTCTTACTTCTATCAAAAAGCACAACTTATTGCTAGCGTCAACAGAATTGTGCTGAAAAAGCAAGAGGAATTAAGCTTACACATAGCCCCATGAAATTAGTTGCCTGTTATAATTGTAAAGTGCTAACAGATATGCTGCCAATAAAGCAATTAAAAAGGCTGTCTGAAAAGGATGATACAACACTCATAGTGTCTTAGCCAGAAAATGATGAGAAAATTCAACTGGTAAAAAATATTATTCTTGATTATGACTCACATGTTTTGTTATTGAAACTGTTTAGAAACCTTACAATGAGCAGCATAAATTTTAAATCTTCACATATCTAAAACATTTTTTAAGATCAATCAAATAGATGAGTTTTTACTTGCTGGTTGATTGATTAGTAACATCATTATTCACTGATACAACGGCCAACAGTCACCAAGCTTGTATATCAATGATTTGCTGAGTGTGGTGTGAAACTTATTCAAGAGTTTAATTTAACTACTATTGATGACACAGGGCAGTATCTTCGGCAAGCTGTGGAGAGTCATTTCAAAACTTTCAAAGTGCAATTTGAAGGAACTTATTTATATATAATTTTTGTAGACTGTGAAATGTAGACATTAAACAAAAATTACTTTTTGTGCTTCATCTTATATTTTAGTTTGTGTGATAAATAAACTTATTTTAGTTTGTGTGATAAACTTGTTGCATTTGCAAATATTGTGCGATGAATAAACTTATTAAAGACCTGTGAGTTAGAAATTTGAGTCAAGTTTAAAAACTTTAAATAATCACATATTATACAAGAACGCTAAAACTTTTACTGTAAAGGTAATGGTTATTTTTTAGAGATATTTTATGACTGTTAGGGTGTTCCAAAAAAAAATTATTTCAAAATTGTTGAATCTCACCATCCAAAAAAACAATAAACTACTTATTTAGGGGTAGTCTATTTTTTGACATATGTTTATAACTTACCTAAGTGAATTTTATTTGTGGCAAAATTAAATTTTGTATTGAAATAATAAACTATTTATACCAACAAGATTTCCATAACGCACAAAAACACGAAAATCAGTATCAGATGGAACTAAACCAGCTTCAAATATTTCTTGGGCAACAACTGAAGCAAATGGATATTTTGCTGAAGAAGCATACAACTGTAGTATCCAGGGATGGTCTGGACCAGTCTGAAACACAAATTCCCTTCCACCTTAAAAAAAAATTAATTGTAATATAAAATAAAAGTAGAGAAAAATATAAAAACATAAAACATAATATTAAAATAACCAGCATACCTGAACCAGCAGCTTCTAAGTTAACAACAGCTTTTACTAAAGGAAACCATTTATGTTCTAAAACAAAGCCATGGCTTCCTGCAAGACCGCCCTCTTCTGCACCATTAAACAAAAAAATTATTCCATACTTCAACTTTTCAGGATCACTTAATGCAATGCATCGCAAAACCTCTAATAAAACAGCACAACTTACACCATCATCGCTTGCACCTTCTGTGCCCATAACTGTATCAAAATGAGCATTTGCTAATAAATATGTATCAGTAGGATTTGATGAAATCTTTACTAAAACATTTGTAATATTTTCATAAGTGCTTGTAAAAGCAACAATTTTTTGTACAAAAGCAAACGACCCGGACACAGTCTGTAAATCAATCTCAATATCAAAACCTTTGTTAGCTTCATCTTTGATAGCATTTATTTTTTTTATAAGTAGGTTAACTGCTTCTACATCACTTTCGTAGCTTCCAGCAACACGATGACCTATTTTAGTCAGATCATATAAGTGCTTTTGGGCTCGAAATCCACTAAAAGTATGGTTTTCAGTCGTTAAATTTTTTGGATCAGGAAGAAATAAATCAGATACTCTAACACTGTATATGATAGCAGACACTGATAGCACGATTATCAAAAAATGAACTGGGCCATAAAAATGTTTTTGATTGCTCAATTGTATATAATTAGACTTTTTGTCCAAATAGCTATCGCCTCGATGTTGTTCACGAACCTTTCGTTGACGAACAAACATTTCAACGTACTAATAGAAAGAAAATGTTAGGTAAGCTAGATGCGTCTAACCGATCTAGAAACCTCAATTAATGCAATTTCTGCTAAGTTACGCAAACCAAAGAAAGTTGAGAAATTTCAGCGCAAAGAAAATCTGCTTCAGCTATGATAGTATCTCATCTAGATTAGATAGCTAAATAGATAGATACCTAAATCAAAATAATGATAATAAACTCAAAGAACTATCTTTTAAGAATGAAAAGAGCCTTTTTAATAAAATAATTTTTCCTCGGCAACAAAGTTTACACAAACTTATGTCAAGATGTTTAATTATGAGATTTCATATCTGTCGATTAATTACATCAACAAAATAGGATTGGGGTCTGAAAATTTTAACAAGGGGGGTGGGGAGGTCTAGAAAATTTGACGTCATTGTTACTTTTGAGTTTCTATAAACATCGAACTCAAAGTTCGGAAAGTTTTTGATGCAGAAACAATAATTTTTCCTTAACTTATTCGGAAAAAAAAGATGCTAAAAAAACAGTTTTTTTTTAAGTGCGCATAAAAAGTATATTCTAAACAACTAATATATTATTGTAAAATTCATGATATTGCAAAAAACCAAGGTATAAGTAAAAGCCTACTAAAGAGCGTGATTTAGGAGTCATTTTTACATCTAACTTTAAGGGAAGCACTCATATTCAATCAGTTGTCTCCGAATCTCTACAAATTCTTGGTATGTTAAAAAAGACATTCACTATCGTTGACGAAAAAATGGCTCTCAAATTATAAGTATTTATAATACCACACCTTGAATATGCAGTGTCTGTTTGGACCCAGTATTTAAAAACTGACATAGCTTTGGTTTAATCTTTTAACGTAAAGAAACAAAATGGGCTTTGAGTTTGAGAAATCTTACAAAAGACTAAAAAAACTAAATCTACTATCACTTGAGTTTCGGCGCCTACGATGCAATCTTATCCAAATCTTTAAATATATCGATTTCATATAATTAATAATATATATCAACCAAAATATATTACCTCCTTGAATATGTTTCAAACTATCTTTCAAGACACAACCAACTATATAATAGATCAACAAAATACTCGAACAAACTACCCAAGCAAGTAAATTTCTACTCAATTGTACTTTCTTTTAAAATTAGGCTAAATTTAGATTAAAATTAGTTGGGGATAAAATTCGGAACGAATATTTATAAAACTGGTTGTTTATAGTAGGGTATTTTCCCTGCTCGCTGTATGTATATTAGGATGTTGACTTTTTGGTATCTCCAGTTTCCTGTAAAAAAAAAAACTGATGAACTTTAGTTTGAAAGTAACTGAAAAGACATTGTTTTGAAAAAGGTCACCCACCAAGACAATTGATTGCACACTGGCTCCCATATATCGGTGATATATCCCATATACCCTAATACATGCAAAATGGCCTATAATAGATGGTAAATTTAAAGCATTGCTGATGAAGTATGGTCCAATTCAAAAATTGCCGTCTTTATTTCCCGAAGATGAACAAGGTAGAAAATTTTCAAGCTTTCATTTTTATCGCCGAATGTCTAATGGCGATAAAATTAAACGCACTTGGTTGGTGTACTCCATTACGAAAGACACTGTATTTTGCTTTTGCTGTAAGATATTTAGTCCGAATAAATTCTCCCTGTCATCGCATGACGGCTGCCGAGATTGGAAAAATATTTCTGTTATTATTAAACGACATGAAACATCAAGTGGCCACACTACTGCATATCTAAATTGGAGAGATCTGGAGGTGAGACTTAAATCAGGGGCTACGATTGATCACATTAATCAGAAAATAATTCAATCTGAAACTCAACATTGGCGACAAGTTCTTGCAAGAATAATAACGTTAATTAGAACTCTTGCTGGACAAAATCTAGCATTAAGAGGAACATGTGAAAAGCTTTTCGAACCGAATAACGGAAATTTTCTTAAATTTATTGAATTCTTAGGAAACTATGATCCTATTATGAGTAAACATATTCAACGAATAACAACAAGTGAAATTCACACCACTTATCTCGGAAAAACTATTCAAAATGAAATCGTTGAATTGCTTGCTAATAAAATAAAAAATGACATCTTAGCAAAACTAGAGCGAGCAAAGTACTACTCACTTATTTTAGACTGTACCCCTGATATAAGCCACATGGAGCAGATGACAGTTGTTTTTAGGTTTGTCAGTGCAACTGAATCATCTTCGGAAAAACCAGCTGAAGTTGTAGTTTCTGAACACTTCGTAACTTTTCTTGAATTACAAGACACAACGGGAGCAAATATGACAAAAGTTGTTATCGATAAGTTGCAGGAATTAGGCGTAAATCTTGATGACATGAGGGGACAAGGGTACGATAATGGAGCCAACATGCGCGGAAAATATAATGGTGTGCAAGCCAGAATTCGTCAACTAAATCCTCGAGCTTTTTTCGTTCCTTGTAGTGCCCACTCGCTCAATTTGGTATTGAACGATGCAGCTAATTGTTGTATGGAGGCTGTCACATTCTTTGATTTAATTCAAGGCATTTATAACTTTTTCTCAGCATCAACTCACCGTTGGAGTATATTATTAAACCACCTAAGCGATCTGACTATAAAACCGTTAAGTGCCACTCGTTGGGAAAGCAGGGTCGGTGCCGTACGGGCACTTCGATTTCAGATTAGTGGAGTTTACGATGCACTAATTGAAATCGCAGAAGACAATACATTAACTACTGCACCACAAGTCAAGAGTCGCGCAGAGGCTAAGGGAAAAGCCAGAAATATTTCAAATTTCAAATTTGTTTGCTCCTTGGTATTGTGGTATGACATTTTATTCCAAATTAATATTGTCAGCAAAATGCTCCAATCACAGGCTTTAGACTTGTTGCTTGCTCTAGAGCATTTAAACGCTACCAAATCTTTCCTATGCGATTATCGCTGTGATGAAGAATTTGCCGCAATGGTTGAAAATGCAAAAAAATTGGCAGTTGAACTAGAAATTTTTGAAGGATTTGATGTGGATGATCCCGTACGCGTACGCAGAAAGAGTAGACAATTCCTATACGAAGGTCGTGATGAACCGATAGTATCACCAGAACAAAACTTCAGAGTATCTTTTTTTAATCGAATATTGGACATCGCAATTCAAGCAATAAATGAAAGATTTACGCAATTATCGGAATATAACGAGTTATTTGGGTTTCTTTACAATATCGGCAGCAAACCCTTAACGGATGATGAGTTATTGAAACACTGTAAGGACTTGCATTTAGCGCTTATGTCTGATGGCCAATCTGATATCAACGGGGTCGAACTTTGGTATGAAATTAAAGCTATTGGGAGACGACTTGATACTTCCAATAGCGATCCAAAAAGTGTATTAAAATGTATTTACACATCTAATGTTGTCGAAGTATTCCCAAACCTTTCGATAGCTCTTCGCATACTACTAACGTTACCAGTCACAGTTGCTAGTGCTGAAAGAAGCTTTTCAAAGCTGAAAATAATAAAATCCTATTTGAGATCACAAATGTGTCAAGATCGTTTAGTTGATCTAGCTACGATTTCCATCGAGAAAGAAATTGCTGATCATTTGGACATAGAAGATTTGGTTAAAGATTTCGCAGAATTAAAAGCTAGGAAAATTCACTTTTAATTACGATTTGTTTTTTATTTTTTCATGAATAGAATTTGTTTTGTTTTTTATTTTTGTATAAATTGAGTTTTTTTATTTTCTATATTAAAGTTTGATTATCAGTGTTTTTCTATTTTCCTTCGAATTGGAAATTATTGCAATTTTAATTTTTGCGGCGGCAAATTTGCATCTCGCCTACACATAGAAAACTGTTAAAACCGGGCCTGAATTTAATTCAAGTTACTTTAAAATGTTCGTATTACATATATCTTTATTTTAATTTTAGTTAAGTTCCAAATACTGGTCTGAAGCAAAAGCGCATTATTTTCCAGTTTTTATTTTTCCATTATTTTACAGTTTCATTCATTATTTACAGAAGCGCATTATTCATTTTATAACTACAAGTAAATGACGTCAATACTTTTAAACTCGAGTTATAAATGTTATGTTTGGGTTTTCCCTTTGCCGTTTGCCGAGGAATTTTTTTTTTTTATAAAACAAACCAAGGACGTATTAATAATACGTCCTTGAACAAACGAAAATTCAAACCTATTAAAAATAACGCGATCAGTAAATAAACTCTTTAAAAGCCCAACTTATCTTTATTTTATTTTAAAAACAAAACTAGTACTTGAGCTATAAATATAAGATACATAAATTTCATAATTATAATGATATTTGTTAAAAACAGATTCTGCTTATAACATCTGAAAACCGAAAACACTATATTTTTTTTTTGGATTGAGAAAAAAAATATTAGGTTTCACTGTGCATAAAAATAAAATAGTTTAATGGAAATAAAAAAAAAAACAAAGCCTAAAAAGCAGTAAATTTCGTTTCTTTACAACATTTATTTTATCAAAACCAGTTAGTACAAACGTTTTTTTTAAAAGGGGAAAACCCAATCTATGCGTTTAGTTATAAGTACATTTAAATCCCTTTAAGAAAATCAAGTGTTAAATTTAAATTATTTAAAAAAAAATAAATAAAAAAAAAAACAACCATAAAAACGAATGTTTAAAAGCAAAAAAATTAAGTTTAAATAAGTATAAGATTTTAATACAAGAAGACTTTTTTTTAATCAACATTGAAATTTTTTTTTTTTTATAACAACATTGTTCAATTTAAAGCTATTTCGTTTCAAAGACTAACAATTGTTTTTAATGTCATTTTAAATTTAATTACAATGAAGTAAAAACGCAACTGACGTAAATTAACTTTTAACAATGTAATTTAAACAATGTAATAAATCTTTATTGAGTAAAGTTACTTTTATTCACGTTCAGCTTTTCCGTTACGCAGCGAAATCTCGTAACAAGGCCTGATATTGGAGACTATAATACAAAAGTCTCTTGTATTATAGTCTCCAATGTTGAATTATATTTATATTTCATAATATAATATTTTCTTCAACTCTTTCTTGAGAACTCTCTTGAAGAGAGTTCTCAAGAAAGAGTTGAAGGAAATATTTTTGAACTACTTAATTTTGGAATTTATGCAGGTGACACTACCTTTTAAAATCATTTAATATCTGCCCCTAAAAATGTTACATTTCTTAAACTACACAAAATCAACTTATGGAGTGTTGTAGAGAGGCTTTTGAGAAGATTCTTATTTTTGAAATCAATTATAGTAAATACTATTCAGTTTTAGCTGATAAAGCAT